TATAGTAGTTTTATTGTATTATTAGGTGCTCACTGTAATTTTTATAGCTCTAGAATAGACTACTTAATATGGTAGCTAAATATCCATTAAGGCTAAATGAATAATGGCATGATATTGGTTTATAAAAGTTAAGCACTTGTAGGGTGAGCTTGAAATGTATTTGGTAGAGATAATGATTAGCTTAGTATCTTAGTCATTAGATCTAGCTTAGTAGCTTAGCATGTGTATTCTTATTTTAAGAGTTGTTGTTGCCAAAATATTAAGTGTTGCATCATCATTGCATGCATGTAGAGAACGAGTTGGTGGAGTTCGTGACTGTCGGAGAGCAGAGTACGAAGAGGTGATCGAGGAGTACGAGGAGGAGATTCTCGTACAGGAGAAAGCCCCACACCCACCGACGACTGACATAGCTGACAATCCGCCTGTCCAAGGCAGACCCCGGTGCATAACCCTTATTTTAATAATCACTGGATATATATATGTGCATTCACGTTACATGATTTATATTGAAACTACATGCATAGATAAACCTACCTATGAGTCCTACTAGCATAGATCGAGTAGCTGCTATGCTCAGGCTATTGGTAGCATGAGTAACCTGTCGTTATTCACAATAGGTGATTATTATTATTACTCTCATGATAAAATGGTGAAAGAAAATGAAGACCGGGCAGGGATATGGTACGGATATTGGTGGGTGTAATAGGTTGTGTCCCGCGACCAACGGGGCATAGCTTGGTTATACTGTTTTCCATGTCTGTGTCGGTTAAGGACCATCCGTTGCTGTGGATGGTAGTCAGGTCACAGACTTATTATCCTGAGCACATACTTACTTATGGGAGTAGGAAGGCTCGTTGCTCTCTTGTCGTGGGTTCCGGCTCTTTCTGGACCAACTGATTGGAGGCGGGGATGATGGAGGTCTAAGCACCACACTGAGTCCGGAACTCAGGAATGGAGATTTAGAGTCCAAATTTGGACGGAGACCTAGACCCCTTGATAGGAGAGTGGTGGGTTGGTCTTGCTTTTGCCTGGGGTACAAGCGGGGCGTGTGTTTCAGGGTACCCAGCTAGGATACATTGGTTCGCGAATCGCCGTGTGATGCGGTACGACTTGGCTATGGTCTAACACCGTAGTAAGAACTGGAAGATGAAAGATGATGAATGAATCTGATTGCTCAACTCTTGCTTAAAAGTAGAACATGTGCTTACATAAAATGGTTAGCTAATGAACTAATCATAACTGCTAATAAAACACATATATAAGGATTCACTACTAATAATGCTTTTCGCAAAAAGGAAACCCAGCTAACCATAAAGCTTATCATATCCTTTAAAGTCGGGAAATTATTCCTATTAGTCGGATAAGTCTTGTGAGTACATTGTGTACTCAAGGTTTATTTACCCCTGTTGCAGGTGCAGCTTGAGAAGTGGCTGTTGTGTGGAGGATTCTTCTGGTGGACACATATGGATCCTTGTATTTTATCGTTAGATTTTTATTTCTATTCTGCTGTTTAAATTCCGCGCTCTGAACTTGGTATTGTAATAATGTATTTCCGAGAATTCTTGTTGCATGAAATGGACTAAGTATTGTAAACTCGTTCTCATTATTGGATCCTGAATGAAAAACGTGGAGTGTTCGAGTTCTCTCTAGGAGTGTGCTCGACGGAACCGCCTGGTGTAACTTACTTTTGGGGTGCTTAGTGTCTAGTGGAAGGCGAGCGTCTCTTAAGGTGTGTTATTTCGGATGGTTCTGCCACACTGGTCAGCTGGTCCAGCTAGCAGCGGACCCAGCAGGGACCTTCTCTTAGTGGGTATGCACATGCACGGTCCCCCACGTGCCGAATGCACCCTGGACTACATCCTGAACGAGTGGCCGCACACGTTCCCATGCACTGCTCCGCAGAAAGGATGGGTGCATGCTCACCTGACTGTAGCTGCATGCTCCCCCTTTTTTCTTGGACGTCACACGTGCGGGATCAGTCCGTCCGAACAGCCTTCACCAAGCATTACTGGTTTTTAAGATAGGTATACATTTTTTTAGTTAACCATATATTTTGGATTTTAGCGGATAGAATAATATGGACATTGAAAATCTAGATAGATCCTATCCAGATATATCAAAACAACTAGTATAATTGAATTTTAGATTATACAAAATTCACTCCCACCTAAAGATGGCAACGGGCACAGAATGCCCGCATGCCCGCGGGCATGGAACCCGATGGGCAAGGATACGGGCACCACTTCTTGCCCGCGGGCACGGGCACGGGCACCATCCTGAACCCAGAGGATAGTTCTTCGCGAGCAAAGAAATTTGCTATCCTCGCCCGCTTATCCGCCAGACCCGCTCCACAGGTCTAACATGTGAGACCTACAAGCAAATATATGTATATATACACGATTTGTTGTGAATATGTATCTTCGTATCTCTTGTAATGCACTATGGTTTATGTATATGCTCAACCTGGCGGGCACACGGGCATGCCCGCGGATGGAGGGCGTGGGCGTGGTTTGTTGCTCGTGGCGGGTCGCGGGCGCGGGCAAGAGATTTAGCTGGCTGGCATGGGCATAAGAAAGTAGTATCCGCGGGCATCACGCCCGCTGCCATCTTTACTCCCACCTCTGCCCTTAACATTGCATTTTAGAACTCTTAGCAAAGCAAGCGCGTATTTGCGAGCAATGCCCGACAGACGTTCTGGGCACTTCCGCAGCGGCAGCAAACCTGCTCAGACACGTCCAGCTCGACGAAGCCGGGACGGACGGGACCCTAACCGAACTCGCCCAACAAGCTGGCCTTCACCCTTCAATGCGTCCCCAATTTGCTGGGGGCGGCTGAGGCGCCTTACCGTTTGGCCGGCCCTAAAAACCTTCTCCCAGCGCTGCTCACCCGGCCGTGCCCGTCAGGTGTTCGTGGCAATGCCTGTACGGGCCCCGTCCGCGGCCTTGGCGGGTGCATGTGCAACGGGACATCCGAGGCTGCCAGGAACAGGGGAAGGCGATTTCAACCATCATTCCCGTGACTCGTGCACGGTGCAGTGCTAGATTACCAGTGGTGTGAACTGGATCTTTTCTTGGTCTCGCGGAGGGCAGCGAATATATAAGCTTGCAATTGGAGGCTGCCAGTGCCAGGAACGGGGGAAGGCAACTTCGGTCATCACCCCAGTGACTCGGTGCACTGCCAGATTACCGGTGGTGTGAACAGGAGGTTGTCATGGAAAAAAATGGGGAGGTCCCCGCATATGCTTTGCATCGTCCCTGTCCGCAGATTCCATTTCAGCGCTTTTGCTTCCGGTTACCCACCTACCCACCATTGCCATCAGGTATTAAAAATTCTAGCAACTTTTCTTTTGCGTATCTTTGCATGAATTCATTTCATTACTAAACCAAGCTCAATATGCTATTAGCAATTGGGCATAATTTCCTGTTGAATCTGAACGTACCTCGTGACTTCACTACTGACTGGAGCCTGGGATGTCATTCTTTACGATGCTCGATGTTCAAGCTCCACTGTCAAGTAATTAACAATTTGGATACCAATCGAGTCGTGATTAAAAAAAGGTACAACTTACCAACAGCTTATTGGTTGACACAGCTTGCATAGGGCTTCTAATATGCCATTAGCATCAGCTGGTAGCTTTAGGTGGTTTCTACAGGCGCTCCTAAAATTCCTGTCATATCGAATGTTTAGACACATACATGGAGTATTAAATATAGACTAATTACGAAACTAATTACACAACTTGTGACTAATTTGCGAGACGAATCTTTTAAGCCTAATTAATTCATGATTTGACAACGTGGTGCTATAGTAAACATGTGCTAATGACAGATTAATTAGACTTAAAAAAATCGTCTCGCAAATTAGCCTCCATCTATGTAATTGATTTTGTAATTAATCTATATTTAATGCTCTTTATTAGTATCTAAACATTCGATGTGACATGAATTTTAGGAGTGACTAAAGAACAAAACACCCCCTTAGTTGCACATAACGTGGGCATTGAGGTGGGGTCTACTAAGTGTGTTGTCCAGTCTGAGATGTCCTCATCTATCATCATGCTGATTGCTCCTAATTCCTTCAATACATTCCATGTTTACTATATGATGATGAGTACTGTAGTCCTTCCAATACAGCCCATGTGCCTATATGAGCACTACAGTATTGGCCTAACAAAGTGCTTATTTATTTATAGACAACTCTAATAGAACAAGCAATCAAATCCAGTCACTAGGGTGTGTATGTGGCTGCTAAATGTTACCCTTTTATTGAGTACTCCGTAAACGATACTCTCTGTCCTAGAATTGGAGTTTTTCTGGGACTGAAGCAGTAGGGTTTATCTTTCTGTTTTTGGGAGAGAAAAAAGACTTTGGGCATGCACTTCACTGTCCCTGTCTTTCTGAGCTCCAGCCAGTATGGACTCTCAGAGTTGACTGGGCCCCCTCTTGTCCAAGCCATTCACACTATGTTGAAATGTCACGCATGCGTGCTCTAATAATTCATCTGGAAGTTGTCTGTGGTGTCATTTAGCCTTATTTTCTTAAGGGACAGACCCAGCGCGAAGGCTCCCATATGAGTGGGGTCTGGGAAAGAGAAAAACGAGGTAAGCATTCCTCCCGCAAAATCTGTGGAGAGACTGCTTCGAACCCGCGACCTGATGACTCAGTGAGATAGCTCTCACCACTGCACCAGGCCTGCCCTTCATTTAGCCTTATTTTCTTAAAATATTTTTTTTTGAAAGAAATCCATTGAGCCTTCAACGGGTCTTTAACTTGTCATCTTCGCTTGGGGCATTGACCTCACCCAAGTCTTCGTCTTCCTTCTTCGCCAGCTGCCAGTTTTTCCTCTCTTTATGTTCATAACCATCCTTGAATTTCTCCTCATTCCAGATATATCTTCTCTAAGCCAAGAATCTCTTGCTCTCTTCTTCCGATGAATGGTTAGAGGGCAATTTCACCTGAGAGGCCGAGGTTAACAACCTTTGTTGGAGAGCAAGCAGCCATATGGCCAGCACCGCTGCTACTCCGGAAGCAGGCAACAATCACAGTGAAGACAGCACCACACATGGAGGCACCACAGGGGAGCCTGCCATGGTCACCTACAACACCAGGCAAGAATCCATTGATAGTTCATCCACCAGGAATTTGCTAGCCCCTAGCCATGAATCCAGAGTCACCGTAGATTTTGAGCTCCTGTGGAGACTGCGGAAGTATCTGCTGCTTCTTGGTATCCTAGCTGTTAGTGTTACATACAATGCTGGATTAACTCCACCTGGAGGGTTCTGGTCGAACAACACAAAAGATGGGCGTTCTGGACATGACGCGGGTGACCCTGTCCTTCGGGCTCTGTTCTTCCCACGGTATGAGGTATTCTTCTACTGCAATGCAACTGCCTTTGCAGCATCTCTTGTCCTAATCATCTTGCTTCTGAGTAAAAATGTGACAAGGCAGAAGTTATGGCTCCGCTCAATGCAACTTACCATGATTCTGGACTTGTTTAGCCTAATGGGGGCCTATGCTGCTGGAAGCTACAGGGCAGTAATGTCATCCATTTACATCTGGGTTCTGGTCTTTTCTGTTTTCGTATATATTATGATCCATATCCTAGTATTTATGAGAGTTGTTCCAAAATTTGTTTCGGAGAAAAGATTTGTTCCAAAATGGCTGAAAGATATGGCAGTGTCTGTGCAAGATTGGATTCTATCCAGGTGTGATGTTCCTAGGAGTGAAAGGAACAACTCCCATGAGAAAGATCTAGAGGAAGCTCGCAAGTTCGTTTTGATGCTAGTGACTTTCGCTGCAACTGTGACATACCAAGCAGGGTTGAGTCCACCGGGTGGTTTTTGGGCTGAAAACGATGATAAAATTCCAGCTACATCTATGCTTCGCAGTAAAAACCTTGCTCGATATAATACTTTTGTTATTTGCAATTCAACTTCCTTTGTTGCGTCTTTGGTGACAATCATACTGCTTCTGAGCCCAGAACTGAGTGGGCATGGCATCAGATCCAAAGCAGTGATTGTATGTGTCGTTGTCGACATATTTGGCCTGGTTGGAGCATATGCTGCAGGAAGCTGTAGGAGTGTGGTGACATCTGTCTGTGCTATTTTAATTGCTGTTGTAGTATGGATCTGCTTTGCAGTTTTAGCCGGGATCTTTGTTAACAGATCTGTAGCAGGCTGGTTTGGAAAGATCAAACCAGATATTATGAGGTGCATGGCTAAATTTGGCCGGGTCGTTTCATGGAATTTTGGCAGAAAGAGATCAAGAAATCCAGAGGGAGAGAATTCTATTGCAAGTAATCAGCAAACTGCAGATTGCATAAAAGATGCAGCAGAACCAGAAACTGCTAGGGTACCAGAATACCAGCTTCAATACCATCAGCAAGTTCCAAATATTAAAGAGGAATCTCCTGGGCAGAATCAGAGTCCAGGCAAACAAGAAGCTACAAACACTAAGGAGGCTGTATCCAGCTCAGAGCATGCATTTGTGAATGGCACGCAAACAGGAAATAGTAGCAATGTCACGTGTAACCTGGAATGTCAGTCTACAGACCCAAATTCAGTTGCAAATGAGACTATGTCTGAAACTGAAACAGGTAATCCTTTTTATGAGATTTTAGTAAGGTAAAAATACTAATATCAATATGTCTAACTCTGATTGTCAACCTGCAGGAAACATGCAAGATGCAAATATGGAGGAACAATCTTCATTGGTGGATGATCTTAAAACTCCCACTACTGTGGCTGGTATGTCTAATCATGATCTTCAATTGGTAGATAACCATAGAGTTCAAAGTATGATCAGGCAATCTTTCTCTACTGATGATCAAGAATCCACAGCCACGGAGTGCTTGTCCGACATTGCATCCAATAACCATAATGGAGCCACCAACAGTTTCAAGGAAGAGGAAAAAACTTCTGAGGAGACTTTGGAAACAGTTGAGATAGAGAGTTCCGAAACCAATAATGTCTCTAGACCTATTGAGAATGCCAACATTGGCACGCATGAAGTAGCTCCCAGACAAAATGCCAGCAATGTAAATGCTGGTGCCAACCCAACTGATGAACACCTAAAGAAGTCCTGGACATATCTTCTTCTTCTAGCCATTCTTGCAGTATCCCTGACGTATCAATCAGGTTTGAATCCACCAGGTGGTTTCTGGCCCCAAAGAGAGAACAATAATTCAACTGGTGATCCCATCCCTAAGAACACTCGTCATCGTCCCTATCATTTACCTGGTGATCCCATACTTGAGGACACTCACCATCGACGCTATATTGCATTCTTCTATTTAAATGCTATCGCCTTTGTTGCATCCCTTGTCATGATTATTATGCTCCTGAATAAGAGGATGAGCAACAAGGTCATAAAACAATATGCACTGCAGATAACAATGATAGTGGATCTTCTTGCTCTAACAGGGTCTTACATTATGGGGAGCTGTAGGGAGACAAAGGGTTCCATATACATCTGGCTGTTGGTGTGCCTTGTGCTGGTTTATGTTGCTGTTCATGTTCTGATCGCAATACATGTGATCCCTGAAGGGTGCAAAAAGGTTGTGGCACACAAGATTGAGAATTTCTCCTGCAGATATATATGGACAAAGCCTTCGTATGAGAACAACCAGAGAAGTGATGCTAATGATAATGATTGTGAGCTTGGGCAGGGCCAGAGGGGTGATGCTGATGACAAGAACTGGGAGCGGAGGCGTAATCTACTATTGATGCTTGCTATTCTAGCTGCAACAGTCACATACCAAGCTGGCATGAATCCTCCAGGAGGTGTATGGTCTGATGACGAGGCGGTCAGTGGTAAACCAGGAGACCCAATCCTTCAGCACAACAATTTTAAGCGTTATGATGTTTTCTACTACTCAAACTCACTCATTCGTGGCATCTGTAGTTATCACAATATTACTTGTGAACAAGGAATCCTGTGAGCATGGTATCAAGTCCTATGCACTAAGAGTGTGTTTGGTGGTGGGCTTGGTTAGCCTCTTGATCGCCTATTCTGCAGGAAGCTGTAGGAAAGCAAGAGAATCTATTTATCTCATCATCATTGCTGTTGCAGTTCTGATTGCCCTTGTGATTCAAGTGCTTCTGCTCTCCTCAACACAAGATAGTCTCAGAGGACCAACTGGACAATTTATAAAACGTCTGCTTCAGCTGCTTTTTGGAAAGGATGAGGCCTGGCATGGTGCTACTTCTCAACAGAAAGAATTCAAGTGCTTCTGCTCTCCTCAACACAAGATATTAATCCTCTGCGCTACGAAATATTCTTCTGCTTCAACTCTATCTCATTCATGGCTTCTATTGTCGTAGTCATATTTCTGTTGAACAAATCTGCCCGGAAGAAGGTTGTGCCACTTGAAGTATTGCATTTAATCATGATACTGGACCTGCTGGCCCTCATGACAGCTTTTGCTGCTGGAAGCTGCAGAAAATTCAGGACTTCAGTCTGTGTGTATGCTCTAGTACTCGGTGTTGTAGTATACCTTGTGATTGTAGTTCTTTTGTCAAGTGGCATTGCAAAATGTCTGAGACCGACGTAGAGAAATAAGGTTTCCTCTCAGAGAAGTCCTAGTCACGCTTCTACAACAAGCACACTGATACTTGAAGACCAAGTTTGATGGTTCCATCCCTTTGGTAATAGTACTAATTTAAAAGTTTGCTTTGCTTGTATTATCTGCAAATAGTGTCCGTATTTGGTTTTTCATTGTATGTTATGTTGTGAGAGTTTGAACTGAATTGAAATTTAGCGATGCTGTATGCTGTTCATTTCTTTAAGATTGTAAAATGAGTGCAATCCTGAAGCTACATGTGTATGCTGTAGGTTCCAATATATGCAACGCAATAACAAGCAAATCCTGGAGACTATATCATGATTTTCTGTTTGTCCCGTATGCCTGAGCTTGAAATTATGTTGTGTATACTGTATACATGATACCAGTACTCGGTTTTGAGGGCTCTGTTCTGACATGGAAGTTGATAGTGCCATGGCATTGCCATTCATAGTCTTGGAGTCTGAACTCTGAAGGTTCCATTCTTGTGGGAGCATTGTTGGAATGAAAATATTTTTGTCAGTATTGTCTTCAAATGATGGCTGTGGTTTTGTTTCGGTGAATGTATTCTGAGTTCAAACGAACATGGATACCAGTGGTGCAGTATGCAAATCAGCTATATAGTTTTTTCCCCACATATGTATATGTATGTGTTATTAGGTTTGGAGATTATTATGTATGTTTTTTTGTCGCATATGCTTGAGCCTTTCATGGACCTATTCGGTTTTTTTTCTTCGATTGCCTTGAAATCATCTCAGCTATTTTGTGTCATTTCGGTGACCGCGGCCACGGAAAATAGACCCGCTGCTTTTGAGTTTTGAATTGCTTGGAGGACCTGATGTTTGGCGATGTTGTTTTGTATTTTCTGAATGTCGATGACACATTGACACACGTTCCGTTCCTCGTACAGTTTTTTTCTTCTCTCGCAATAGAAGAAGAGTTTAAACTTACAAACAACGCGCATCTGTCGAGCGCCGAAGAAGGTTGACCAAATAGCCGTAACTGGACCATCCTAGCAAGAGGACTCACGTTTCGATATTACATAAATAAAAAACAACCAATACCGACTCAGCGGTGCAACCTAGGAGGTGGTCTTGCGTCTTCGCGGCTGCCTGGACGAATTATTTCGGCCATCCGCGAAGAGCGCGTCCAGTGCTTCGGCGTTGGACGCAGTTAGGTTTCCGTCGAAGATCCTGTCAAAGGCCTCCAGTTCTGACGCGGATGACGCTGATGGACCCTTGATGTAGCTCATACGCTGCATGATTAGGACTTCACCTCGCTTAGAAGCAGGTACTCGAGAGACTTTGGGCCGCCAACCGGTTGCTCCGCCACGGCATCACCGCCTTCACAGGCGGCTGCTTGGGCGGCCTCCGAATCAGCGGGGAGTTCCTCATACAGTGAGTTAAGAGCACACCTGTGGAGGACTAGAGGTAGAACTATGGTTTAATTAGGGATTCGGCCCCTGCCCGCCTGCCCGGCCGGCTGGTTTTGGTACGGATGCGGCGGGGCCGGGTGGCAGTAATGGTTTCCCGTCCCATCCGCCACGCGCGTCAGGTGCTGGAGCGAACGCCGATAGGCCGCAGCAGCGCTTGCACGCTGTGAGTGTGAGGCGGACCTGTGCTCCACGGATGCTCTGCACGGTTCTCACGTTGAGGGGCCTGGACCCGGACGCACAACAGTGGATGTGGATGTTTACCTTCGGGGATCGAATCGAATCCGCTGGAGAGAATATTGATTTGCCGTGGTTCTTCTCGGCCGGTCCGCTAAGAGGAGCCCCGGAACGGCGCCCGGCCGATGCTCGACGAAATGCCGGACCGAGACAGACGTACCCGGTCCGGGTGGGTGCCCCCGCGCTTGCCAGCAGGCGAAGCAGCACAGGCATATGGACACCAAGTCCGGTGCCCGGCGGGCGCGCGCGTCCACCGCTTGGCCTCCGTTGAGGAAAGCACGACCGGTACGTCACGTCGCGTCACGATTCCGTACGCCCGGGCCCGGATGAGACCGGCGAGCCTCGACGCGCCGTGGAATTGTCAGATGCCCAAGTCAACGTGGCAGGTGGGCGCGGTCACTCACCGAGCAGAACTGCTCGGCGGAGACACGGAGACCAGTGGATGCCTTTAGCTGAGCTGGGACGCCACGGTGTGAACCTACGGCACCACCAGTCAGCCGGTCCAACCTGTTCTGGAGTGGACTTGCTCTCCGGCCGGCGTGAGCCAGTTCACACGGTCTGTCTTTGTCGGGGCCTCTACTATTCCGGTGAGTACTGGTGACGGAGTGCTGCTATACAAGTATTTCCATTTTTCTCTAGGTGAGGTATGGTGCTAACAATAGGGTAGTACCCAGTTAGTTGTACCTTGCAATTCCATTACCATTACCCAACGATTCAATTAGTTTGGCAGCCAACAAGCTAATGTATTCCGGTATATATTATAATCTTGATGAAACAGATCATCTCTGGACTGGATAATGTCCATGTGAACCAGCTTGTTGTCACTCCTTTTTTTTTAACAGTACTCTATGCTTTATCCAGGGAAGCAGCATGTTGGCTATTTATTCTTCTTTTAGGAAATGGGAAAACAAACTTCCAGGTCAGTATACAGTTCATTCTTAGTAAGTCATTACCATCAGCTAATTGCCCATTCAATCATAGGTATTATATGACATGGTTGGTGGCTTCTCGGGGGGGGGGGTGTGCATTGACTCCACCTGTTTCTCAAGTCTCCTCCCTTCGTCTTATATTCATTTTTCTCTGCTTCCTCACTCACACCAACCATAGGCTCTTCAATAGCTTAGCTTCTTGGAGTCCTTACAAATGTGCTCGCCAGTCCGAGAAGCCAAGTCATCTGCTGCTCTCTAGTTCTCTATTCGAGCTTAAACTTTCCACCTCGATTACAGAGTGATTATATCATGTCTTTCGATCTTTCCATGTAACTGCATGGGCAACGTGATGTCTTCCCCATAGGTATGTCCTCATTTTCCTCCCAGTGTTTACTCATTCGTTTTGTAGACCTGTATGTAACTTAACAGTACCAAAATGCCATTAGCCAATGGCTTCCAGTTAACGTCTTTCATGATTGTGGTATATACAGCACAAACTTCTAAACATCTTTTGCTTGCAATATGCTTTTTTTTAAAAAAAAACTTCTAAGATTTCTTTGCTTGTAATATGATTTTTTTGACACAAACCCAGTTCGGATTCGAATGATGAGCTGTCTTTCTTGTTAATACTCTCACTCGGTTTGTTTCTTAGCAGAAGCATACACAATAATTCATTGCTACTGTTTGCTCTCTTTGTGTTGATGACATTGACTTCACTCTTGACCAAGTCTTCTCTTCCTCCCTGCACCCTTTGTTTTGCCGTTGCTCTTGCTCCAAAAATCAGAACACTCCTTGAATCACCTGTGACTCTGAATCTTCCAGATCTCTTCTCACATCCAAAGAGCTATTTACTGCTGCTGCAAGTGGAATGGTAGAGGGCAGCTGAGACTTGCGCTCTCAGTTGGGGAGCTACGATATGGCTACTACTGTGGAAATAGAACATGCCATTGCTCTGACCAACTCGGCAACTAATCCAGAAGCAAGCAATGATGAGGTTGAATACAGCAATGCCCATGGAGACAACAATAGTGAGATTTCCATAGCCACTGGCATTGGTGGTGGCAGCGGCGGCGAGCAAGACTCCATGGATGATTCATCCAGGAGGGTTTTGTTAGTTGATAGCACTGAGGATGATTTTGATTTCTTCTGGAAACTACGGAAGTATTTGGTACTACTTGGAAGCTTGGCTGTCGGTGTGACATACAATTCTGGATTAACACCACCTGGCGGATTTTGGAACAAAAATTTGGATAGCCATGAAGCTGGTGACCCTGCCCTTCGTGCTGAATTCTACCAGCGGTATGAGGTATTCTTTTATTGCAATGCAACAGCCTTTGCTGCATCTCTTGTCTTAATCATCTTGCTTCTAAGCAAGAGTGTGACCAGGCAGGAGTTATGGCTCCGTTCCATGCAATTTACTATGCTAGTGGACCTATTCAGTCTTATTGGGGCCTATGCTGCCGGGAGCTGCAGGGCACTTAAGTCATCCATCTACACATTGATTCTAGTCATTACTCTTTTTGGATATATTTCGATTCACATCCTAGTATCCACAAGGATTGTTACAGAAACATTGAAAAAGAAGATGAAGACAAGGGTGGATAAAATTCTATCCAAATTGGGTATTCTTGATGTGCAACCTAGTAGTCGTCAAGAAAAAAAAGACCTTGAGGAGGCTCGCAAGTTTATTCTGATGCTTGTAACTTTTGCAGCTACTGTCACATACCAAGCAGGGTTGACTCCACCAGGTGGCTTTTGGGCTGAAAATGATTACAAGCACCGTCCAGCTACTCCTGTTCTTCGCAGTCACTACCTGCGCCGTTATAATATGTTTATCAGTTGCAATTCGACCTCCTTTGTGGCATCTTTGGTTACAATCATACTACTTCTGAGCCCAGAATTGAGCAGGCATGGAATAAGGTCAAAAGCAGTAGTTGTTTGTGTGGTAGCTGACCTGTTCTGCCTGATTGGTGCTTATGCTGCTGGATGCTGTAGGGATGTAGCAACATCATTCTATGTTATGTTTATCATCATCATAGTTTTGATCTGCATTGGCTTTTTAACTGGGATCTTTGCTTATGAACCTGTAGCAGAATGGCTACAAAAGATCAAATCAAGCACTGTAAGGTGCATGAGTGTACTGCTCTCATCAAAATTTAATAGTATCAGATCGAGCAATGCAGATCAGGAGGGTTCTAATGCAAGTTATCAGCAACCTTCAGTCCATGATCCTGGTGCACCGGCAGCAGAACCAGAAAATCAGTCTGCAGATCAGGATGTTTCAAATACTGAGTCCTCTGTGAAGTATCTACCTGAAGACAAACAGAAAGCAGAAAATAGTGAGGAATCAAACTCTTGGCATACATCAGCCAATGGTCCAGAGTTGGCAAATACCAAGGATCTTGTGCCCAATCTGGAGCATGAATTTACAGACTGCCAACTAGTTGCAAACATGAAATCTCTGCCCAGCACAGAGCCTCCATCACTGAGCTGCCAGGGAACATCAGATAGCAATAGTCTGTCTGCAGATAGACGGCAAGCTACAGGTATGAAGGAGAAATCTTCAACTGATGATGTCAGGACGACTGATAGGCCTTTAGCTGGTGAGTATAATGGAGCCACTAATGATCTCATGGAGGATTGTATTGTGGAATCTGCAGAAGAGCAAACTTCAATTGGATGTAGTAATGGTGAAATTGAAAATGGTGGTGTTAATAATAATGCAGAACATGGGACTCGTATAGACAACAATCAAGGAGGAGCAAATCAAAATTCTCATGGAAATTCAACTGAGGATCATCTGGAGAAGGCCCGCACATATCTGCTTCTTCTTGCTATTCTTGCAGTGTCTCTGACATATCAATCTGGTCTGAATCCACCAGGTGGCTTCTGGTCAAAAAGGGAGAAGAATCATTCAGCTGGTGATCGCATCCTTGAGGACACTGACCATCCACGCTTCATTGCATTCTTCTATCTCAACGCAGTTGCATTTGTGACATCTATTGTCATCATTGTTATGCTCCTGGACAAGAGTATGAGCAGGAAGGTTACAAAACGTCGTGTATTGCAGCTAGCTATGATAGTGGACTTACTTTCCTTAACTGGGGCCTTTGTCACAGGAAGCTGCAGAGAGCTTACGAAGTCCATTTCCATATCAGTGTTGTTGTTTGTTGTGCTTGCTTATGTTGCTCTTCATGTTTTGGTAGCGATTCATGTAATCCCTCCAAAGTTCAAAAAGCTGGTTTCAGATAAAATAAACCAGTTCTCGTGTGGAAATGTGTGGCCAGTTCGGCCTCAGTTATGCCACAAGCAGACAAGGAATACAACTGAGACAAAGGAATTGGAACGGAGGCGTAATCTACTATTGACACTTGCTATTGTAGCTGCAACTGTAACATACCAAGCTGGTATCAACCCTCCAGGCAGTGTATGGTCTGATGATAAAGGAGCCAGTGGCAAACCAGGACATCCAATCCTTCAGGACAACCATCAGAGGCGATATGATGTGTTCTACTACTCAAATTCAATCTCATTTGTGTCATCTGTTGCTATCACAATACTTCTTGTGAATAAGGAATCCTGTGAGCATGGAATCAAATCTTATGCACTGAGAGTGTGTTTGGTGGTGGGTTTACTTGGCCTCTTGATTGCTTATACTGCAGGAAGCTGCAGGTACAGAAAGCAATCCATCTTTGTCATTGTCATTGCTGTGGCCGTTCTAATATCCCTTGTGATTCAAGTCCTACTATCTTCAATGTATAAAATGCTACGAAGACCATTGGCCAAAGTTATGGAATGTCTGCAGCAACTTATGGAATATCTGCAGAGGTGGGTTTTCCGTACTGAGAAGGTTAGGCGAGAGATTACTTCTGAGTCACTGGAAACTAAAGATTTTGATGAAAAAAAAGCAAGGAAGAGGCACAAATATCTCATGCTTATTGCCATTTTAGCAGCCTCTGTCACGTACCAAGCTGGTCTGAACCCACCTGGTGGCTTCTGGTCTGATGACAAACACGGGTTACACGGCCATTTTGCAGGCGATCCACTCCTTCATGATATTAATCACCGACGCTACAAGACATTCTTCTGCTTCAATGCTATCTCCTTCATGGCATCTATTGTTGTCATAATGCTTCTGCTGAGTAAATCTATTAGGAAGAAAGCTGTACCACTTGAGGTATTGCTCTTGATTATGATACTGGACCTGCTGTCTCTCATGACAGCTTTTGCTGCGGGAAGCTGCAGGAGACTTAGTACTTCGATCTATGTATTTGTGCTAGTTGCTGGCGTCGTGATATATCTTGTGTTCCTTATTGTTTTGTCGAGAGCCATTGGAAAACGTCTCGGAAAGTGGAAGAGAAGCGGGATTTTCTGCTCAAGATGTACTGTTCGTGTTTCAGGCACAAACACAAGGGTACAAAGAGAGCAAGTTTGAGGAAACCATTCCTACCGTTTTTATCTTCTTCATCATCTTCTTTTTCTGTAGTGGAGTGCAACAAAACCAGAGTGTTGAACTCTCACCACTGTATGCATTCAACTTTTCTTGCAAGATTGTGTTCCTGTGTGTTATTAATCATTCATTTAGGAAAGTTGAATCGGGATTAAAACCTTTGAACATGTTTGAGAATATTCATGTAAATTGTTCTGGTACACTTCATGAAACTAAGTAGACCACGGAATTTGTTGTGCATTATGTCTGTGCATGCATCTTTTCCTTTTCCTATTATATGCTAGATAACCAGATGCTGAAAGACTTATTATAGTTTCTCAAAATTGTAGTGGCTTAAGAAAACTCATTGTATACATCTTCTTACCCTAAATAATGTTCTAGGGGCATTTGTTTTTTCTTCCACAATTATGGTTTTTCTGTTGCATTATTTACAATCATATGGGATGAAGATGTTGAATTTCAAATATCTTATGAATGGCAGCTCATTGCCGAGTAAACTCCAGCACCTCTCAGGATTGGAGATTAGAAAAATAATATTTAGATAAAAAATATCATCAGTGGACGTCTAAAAACTCTTTAGTGGCCACTAATAATTCTAACGTGTTATTTTAAATGTTACCTTATAATAGTACCATTTATATATATTATACTACATTGCTTTTGTGGGAGTAATTATAGCTGCTACAAACACTACTATTTAGTACTTTGAAAACACATGTATGAATTAGAACAATAGTATGGCATTAGCGGCCATTAATAATTCTAATGCGTTATTTTAAATGTTACCTAGTAACAGTACCATTTATATATATATCATATTGCATTGTTTTGTGGAAGTGATTATAGCTGCTACAAACACTATTTAGTACTTTAAGAACACATATATGAATTAGAACAATAGTAGTAAAAAAATTCCATAGTTACTTCTAGCGTTAGGCCACCTAATAACCGATTGTGAATAAAAAATATATCTAAAGCTAAAATAACATTTAATTGTTAAAATAAGAAAATAAAATTATAACTAAATAGTATAATATCGGATCTGAACAATCCAATAATTTGTACTTGAGGATATTTGGATCTATATTTTTATTCATTTTAGTATTGATATAAATGTCGAAAGTGTGACCAAGTTGAACCGAAACAAAAGTTTAAGAACTAAAATGCACTTTTTTTAGTTTATGGATGAGATTAATCTCAAAATACAAACGTTGATGACTTGACCCTGTTCGCTTGAACTACTTCAGCAATACTTTTCAGCGAACGAACAATGTTTTTCTTTCACAACAAATCAACATAAGCATCAGCATAAGCCAAATTTCAGCGAAACGAACAGGGCCAATTGGTCGCTTTGATAATTATAGGATAAAATTAAGCCCCCAAAAATTGAAATGCTCATTTTAAAAGTTTAAGGACAAAATTAAGCCCTAGACAATAGTTGAGGCGAGTCTGTTGTGGTGGCCAGCGGTGTTGTTAGAGGTTGTGGTGTTTGCGGTGATTTGTGTTGTGCACGGTTGTTGTTGTCGACCAGCCTTAGAGTTAGAGTTATGGTTCCTGTTATTGTCTTTTTCTTTTTTTTTCTATAGGTAGCCTCTCGGGGCTACTTGCTAGTATTTTCTGCTATAACAATAGAAATAGGCAGTACCAGAGTCGGTTTGTTAAAAAAAAGATATATTTAAGGCGTCATCTTTCGGTGCTGCTAAACAAATTTTCTCTATTTATAAAATCTACTCTTTTCATTTTAAATTATAAGATATTTTCGTTTTCTAGATATGTAGTTTTTGCTAGCACTTAGATATATACATTAGTAAAAATAATATATACAGAAATGTTACGACGTCTTGTAATTGAGAACGGAGGGAGTAACATGAGACCCTTGCCGGCCTGGCTCTCTGGTTTGAATTTCACTTTGCATCCTTGTTTCTGCATCTTCAAAACAATTTGTTTCTGCATGTAAAGTGACGCGCGGCAACGTGCATCAAGGTAAGTAATCCAAAGTTCCAAACCATAAAAAGAACCAAGAGTGCTGAACGAGAGGGCCTCATAGGAGTACTACGGCCAAATTAGGATTCAACAGATTCGGACAGGAAACAGTAAAAAAAAGATCTAGCGACGAGCCGGCAAAAGTTCTGACCATGGCCGGCCAAATGCCCAAATTTTTACCTGAGCTGCCTCGGTTCCGCTGCACTACCGTGCAGATGGGCTCGGACAAGGAAATCCGATAGGACGAGACCGTTACTCGATCAAATCGATTTGATTTCGTAGGAAATGGACTTTGTGATTTTGTTGTTTTACTACTGACCAAGATTTTGTAATTTTTTTTTGCGAGATTTTGTAATTTTCGAGACAACTGAGAGTGATGGGAGGAGACCACGTCAGCTGGAGTCCGCCAAGGCCAAACATCAGAGACGGCACAGAATCATCGTGCAGTAGTATCTCTGAACGATTCCGCTTGCGCAGAAGTTTGAGAGAGAGTGTGTGATGAGCCTGTGACAGGGGGCACGTCGCCTTTTCTTCCCTCCCTTTCCCATGTTCATTTACCGATCACTCTCACGTCTCAGGGCACTCCCAATCTCCCAGTACTAGAAACCTCAGTGTCTCCGTCCTTCTCGATGCAAGTTTATAAAGTTTATACGAGTAGTTTCTATGAAAAAAAAAAATTAATGAGCATTTGCATGCCCCCACAAACAAAGAAGATCATCTGTGGCAAGATAACGTGTGCCATGGTATGCTCTGCAACTCACTGTTGAAGGAGCACGAGTGCTAGAAACACTGGTGTGCAGCACGAGCAGCAGCAACAGTGAAGTTCAGCTTCAAGTGATGAATCAGCCTTGCTTGCGGTGCTCTCCTCGACGTGCCTTTGATCACCAGACTTTCCCTGCGTGTCATTATAAAAAATCGTAATCCTCTGTGTGCCCTTGAAAAAATTCAGCGGTCTTCACGCCACTACTTCAACTTTTTCGTGTCCTTCATGCCACTTCCGTCAGTTTAGGCTCTAACGCCGTTAAACTGCAGGTGTGAAAAGACGAAAATACCCTTAAGTCTAAATATGTTATTAATTTTTTTGAGCATCTTAACGACTTCAAATGAAAAAAACTCAAAACTAGAAAGTTGTAGATCTCGTCGAGATCTATAATTTTCATATAAAATATATTTTCATTTAATTCCGTAAAAAAATATGATTTGATATGATTAATATATCTTAGAAAAATCATCATTTTTTTTGCGGAATTAAATAAAAATAAATTTTATATGAAAATTATAGATCTCGACGAGATCTACAACTTTCTAGTTTTGAGTTTTTTCATTTGAAGTCGTTAAGATGCTCAAAAAAAATTAATAACATAGTTAGACTTAAGGGTATTTTCGTCTTTTCACACCTGCAGTTTGACGGTGTTAGAGCCCAAACTGACGGAAGTGGCATGGAGAACACAAAAAAGTTAGAGTAGTGGCGCTGAAGACCGCTGAATTTTTCTAGGGACACACAGAGGATTACGATCTTTTATAATGACACACAGGGAAAAGTCTCTTGATCACTGCCTGCTTCAGCATCAAATACCGTCACTGCTGCTCCACCAGCTGCTTGTACTTTCGGCATGCAATTAGGGCCTGTTTGGTTTTCATAAGTCAGGTGACTTATTAAGTCAGGTGACTGAAAACTAGTGAGTCATGCCTGTTTGGTTGTAGATGACTTATAAGCTCATTAAAGGTGTGGACCCCACGTGAAAAGGGTGACTTATAAGTTTTAAGCAGGGGTGAACCAACTTAAAACTTATAACCAGGGGTGACTTATAAGTTGGTGGTGTTTGACAAAATAAGTCACTTATTTTACTTTTTAACTTATAAGTAGGTGACTTATTTGGAACCAAACAGGCTCTTAGTCTTTTCCTTCTGATTCAAGAATGCGGGAGATCTTCTTTGTCTGCACCGCGGTGACCACGCTAGGTTGGCCTCCGCGTCGCGCGCGCAGCAACGCGCGACCTCCCGCACCTCGCGGCCGCCATCCGCGCCGTAGCCGCTAAGGCCCCCGCGCCACTCCCCGAGGGCCTCCCAGCGAGTTCTGTGAGCGGCGGCGAGCCTGCGCGAGATCCACAACCGCGCGAGCCTGTACGAGATCTGCGGCGCGTGGGTCCTCGGCTCCAAGGCAACGAACACCCCAGCGTCGGAGGCATGATCCTTGCGCCGGCACTACTGTAGTTCCTCAAATCCCACGCTGGGCCTCACCGCCGTCCTGCCCCTCGCCGCACGGGTCGGCGGCGGCACGCGAGCTCCTGCCAGTGGCCGCGCGATGCTCTGCGGCGGTGCTACGCGAGCCCGCACCGGCCGCGCGAGGCCCACGGCGGCGGCTGCACGAGCCCCCACCGACGACGCGAGCTCCCTCCGGCGGTGCGCACAGACCATGGAAACCAAGCTTTTCTCCCCAACGTGGCTGCAAAAAATTTGGCGGCGACAACGGCTCACCTCTGTGAAAGAGGGCGCGAGCGCGCACAGGCGATGGCGGCCAGGCGAGAGCGTGCGCGGGAAGGGCAGCCGACGGCGATGGGAGGAAGGCGCACGGGATCTAACTGCATCAATGGAAACTACCCCCGTCTTCCCCAACGCGGACGCAACGTTGTTTCTACCACATTGATTCCCCAACGCGGACGCAACGTCGTTTCTACCGCATTGATTCGCTTGTAGACGCCGTTTCTATCCTAGACTCCGTTTCTTGCATTTTTCTACCTTTCTTCGATAAATGATATGACACACCAGAAAAAAATCAATAAATATAGAGGTAATAAATGGTCCTAGAAACTACGGCAAAGTCTGCGCTGCGAATCAGATCGCCTGACTTCACTACCACCAACGTATGGCTGCAGTCACGAAAATCAAACCGTCCACTCCCATCCAACGGCCACACGCGGGAGACCAGCCATGCTTCCAGCTAGCTGGGCCTCGGCCCATGAAGAGACGGTCTGTTTTGCCGAACAACGAGTTGTGAAGCT